TGTGATTGTGAGAATGTGATTGAGTAGTTGGAAGTACAGCAGCCACTGCAATAGAACACAATGTTGTTGCACTGGAGAACGCTTTCCGGGGTTACGCGCAGCTCCTCATCTTCACTGGAGAATACTTTCCGGGGTTACGTGCAGCTCCTCATCTTCACTGGAGAACGCTTTCCGGGGTTACGTGCAGCTCCTCATCTTGGCATGTGACTAATTGCTCTTGCCGCTACTGGTTTTGTTATCATTGGAAATGCTGTGGCGGCCACTGCTTCTGCCACTGCTGGTGGTGCTGGCGGTGGTGCTGGTGGTTGTGGTGGTGGTGCTGCTTCTGCTACTGCTGGTGGTGGTGGTGCTGGCGGTGGTGCTGGTGGTTGTGGTGGTGGTGCTGCTTCTGCTACTGCTGATGGTGATTGTGGTGGTGCTTCTGTTTCTGCTGCTGCTGCTGTTTCAGTTGCCAAATGACTGCAATCATGTGGTTGCCATTGTTCTCTCGGACTAACTCTCTTCTTGCTTTCTGCTCTTTGGTGTTGAATTGATGTTCAGGCTCTCTCTCAGGCGAAGAAGTCGTCGGAAGTCGCCATCTCTCGCGCTCGCCAGGAAGGTTATGAAAAGGGCAAGGCTGAGGGCGGACCAGCAGCAGCAGGATCAGCAGGTGTCCTGGCCAAGCCAGCGCCTAACACTGCAACTGAGGTAAGACTGAGCATGACTAGCTACACAGCTGTGTATACAGTGAAACCTGTCTAAGACGACCGCTCGAGGGACCTTCAAAATGTGGTCTCTGTTACCAGGCGGTCTCCTTGTCCAGGGTCATTTGACTGGAAATAGCATCCCTTGGTCCTGGTTTCAGTGGTCTTCTAGGACAGGTGGTCACCTTATCCGGGTGGTCGCTGCCTTGCCAGGTTTAACTGTAGTCGTGTAGGGTGTGCTAGGTGATAAACTGTTAATAGTGCCTCACAACATGCTTTTGTGCATCGATCAAAATACGGTCATGATTAGCTTCATAGTTGCGTAAAGTGATATTGGCACCGTGTACCATGCTTTGTCAATCGACCAAACTCCATTGCGAGTACTCTACTTGCTGCGTTGTGTGCTTATGTCCAGTACAAGTACAATGTCTGTGTCTGTGGCTGTGGCTGCGAGCCACAAGCTCATCATCTTCACCAAATCATTGTGTTGAGCTGTAGATTTACGCCTGTCTATGGTGTATGTCTGTCTGTGTGTGTGTGTGTGTGTGTGTGTGTGTGTGTGTGTGTGTGTGTGTGTGTGTGTGTGTGTGTGTGTGTGTGTGTGTGTGTGTGTGTGTGTGTGTGTGTGTGTGTGTGTGTGTGTGTGTGTGTGTGTGTGTGTGTGTGTGTGTGTGTCTGTGTATGTGTCTGTGTATGTGTCTGTGTATGTGTATGTGTGTATGTCTGTGTATGTCTGTGTGGGTCTGTGTCTGTGTCGGTTGGTCTGTCGTTCTGTCTGTGCGTGTGTGTGTGTGTATCTGTGTATCTGTGTGTGTGCTTGTGTAGGTGAAGAAAGTAATGAATACTGTCTACCACAAGCTCAATGCCCAGTTCCAGGCCGCTAAGAAGTACAACGGAGCGGAAGTCATGACTACAATGATGGCCACTATCAAAGTACGAACGCCGCCGTCTGTTCTTGTATTTCTATCAACCTGACTGCTGTTTGCTGCCGCAGTGTGTGTGTGCATGCGTGTGTGTGCGTGCGTGCGTGTGTGTGTGAGAGAGAGTGTGAGAGTGTGTGGTGTGTTTGCGTGTGCATGCATCATTCGAATCAGTCTACTTCTTGATTATGGGGAGACATGCTGAGAATGATTTGACCAACGACTGTGTTGTGATGCTTCTGGTGTTGCTGCTGCTGCCGCCGCCTGTTGTTGTTGTGGTTGTTGTTGTTGTCGTTATAGGAAGTAACCATTTCAATGATTCAAGGATCACCACCAACAAGACCAGCGGTGGCAACGTCAGCTTCTAAGTCCTCTGTCGAGGACTCAGATGAAGATGATGAGGATGACGAGGATGACGAGGATGAGGATGAAGATGAGGAAGCCAAAGAGGAGACAAAGCCTTTTGCAGCCTCGTCTTCTGCTGCGGATGCCGTAGCAGTAATGGCTGCTGCAACTGGAGCTGTGGCAGTCAGTGCTGCTACTACCACTGCTGCTGCTGCTGATGATAATGATGATGATGAGCTGGCTTCTAGTGAGGAGAAGGAGGATGGCGCAACGACTGCTCCTGCCGATAGTAGTCTCTCGGCTGCTGCTGTGACTGATGCCAGCACAGCGGACATGTCAGTACCCACTACAGAGACAACGGCGACAACAACAACGGAAACAACTAGTGATCATGATGATGATGACGAAGACGACGACGACGATGAAGACGATGAAGAGGACGCAGAAGACGATGAAGAGGAGGAAGAAGATGAAGAAGATAAGTCTGCCGAGGCAGCAGCTGTGCAAAGCACGCCAGCGGCGGATGAGAGTGAGGACACACTGACGACACCTTCCACTGTGGAAAGCAGCGAACCTTCTACCTCTGCCACTCAAGATTCGGCAAAGGATGACAGTGTCGAGGAAGATGAAGATGAAGATGAGGACGAAGACGCAGATGAGGAAGAAGACGAGGAAGAAGAAGAGGAGGAGGATGAAGATGAAGCTGTAGAGGAGCCCTCTGCCAAGGGAGCGGCTGCTACTGAAGGTACTGCAGCTGATGTGGCCAAGTCTGACAGTGAGTGAGGGAGTGAATGAGTGAGGGAGGGAGTGAATGAGTGAGGGAGTGAGTGAATGAGTGAGGGAGGGAGTGAATGAGTGAGGGAGGGAGGGAGTGAATGAGTGAGTGAGGGAGGGAGGGAGGGAGGGAGGGAGTGAATGAGTGAGGGAGGGAGGGAGGGAGTGAATGAGTGAGTGAGGGAGTGAGTGAGGGAGTGAATGAGGGAGTGAATGAGGGAGTGAATGAGTGAGGGAGGGAGGGAGGGAGGGAGGGAGTGAATGAGGGAGGGAGGGAGGGAGGGAGTGAATGAGTGAGGGAGGGAGGGAATGAGGGAGTGAGGGAGGGAGGGAGGGAGTGAATGAGTGAGGGAGGGAGTGAGGGAGGGAGTGAATGAGTGAGGGGGGGGGGAGTGAGGGAGTGAATGAGTGAGGGAGGGAGGGAGGGAGGGAGTGAATGAGTGAGGGAGGGAGGGAGGGAGGGAATGAAGGAGTGAATGAGTGAGTGAGGGAGGGAGGGAGGGAGGGAGTGAATGAGTGAGGGAGGGAGTGAATGAGTGAGGGAGGGAGGGAGGGAGGAAGTGAATGAGTGAGGGAGGGAGTGAATGAGTGAGGGAGGGAGTGAATGAGTGAGGGAGGGAGTGAATGAGTGAGGGAGGGAGTGAATGAGTGAGGGAGGGAGTGAATGAGTGAGGGAGGGAGTGAATGAGTGAGGGAGGGAGGGAATGAGGGAGTGAATGAGTGAGTGAGGGAGGGAGGGAGGGAGTGAATGAGTGAGGGAGGGAGGGAGTGAGGGAGGGAGGGAGGGAGTGAATGAGTGAGGGAGGGAGTGAGGGAGTGAATGAGTGAGGGAGGGAGTGAGGGAGGGAGGGAGTGAATGAGTGAGGGAGGGAGTGAATGAGTGAGGGAGGGAGGGAGGGAGGGAGTGAATGAGTGAGGGAGGGAGGGAGGGAGTGAATGAGTGAGTGAGGGAGTGAATGAGGGAGTGAATGAGGGAGTGAATGAGTGAGGGAGGGAGGGAGGGAGGGAGGGAGTGAATGAGGGAGGGAGGGAGGGAGGGAGTGAATGAGTGAGGGAGGGAGGGAATGAGGGAGTGAATGAGGGAGGGAGGGAGTGAATGAGTGAGGGAGGGAGTGAATGAGTGAGGGGGGGAGTGAGGGAGTGAATGAGTGAGGGAGGGAGGGAGGGAGGGAGTGAATGAGTGAGGGAGGGAGGGAGGGAGGGAATGAGGGAGTGAATGAGTGAGTGAGGGAGGGAGGGAGGGAGTGAATGAGTGAGGGAGGGAGTGAATGAGTGAGGGAGGGAGGGAGGGAGGAAGTGAATGAGTGAGGGAGGGAGTGAATGAGTGAGGGAGGGAGTGAATGAGTGAGGGAGGGAGGGAATGAGGGAGTGAATGAGTGAGTGAGGGAGGGAGGGAGGGAGGGAATGAGTGAGGGAGGGAGGGAGTGAGGGAGGGAGGGAGGGAGTGAATGAGTGAGGGAGGGAGTGAGGGAGTGAATGAGTGAGGGAGGGAGTGAGGGAGGGAGGGAGTGAATGAGTGAGGGAGGGAGTGAATGAGTGAGGGAGGGAGGGAGGGAGTGAATGAGTGAGGGAGGGAGGGAGGGAGTGAATGAGTGAGGGAGGGAGTGAATGAGTGAGGGAGGGAGGGAGTGAATGAGGGAGTGTACATGCCCATGTCAAAACTCCGCTGCAAGTAATGCTACTCTTGGTAATGCTATTCTGGGTGTGCCAGTGGCATGAGTGTTGATGTTGACACACGCACGCGCGCACATACACACATACACCATGCCGGGCATCTGTTCCTGTATGCATGTCTGACTGACTGTTGGTGTGTGTGTGTGTGTGTGTGTGTGTGTGTGTGTGTGTGTGTGTGTGTGTGTGTGTGTGTGTGTGTGTGTGTGTGTGTGTGTGTGTGTGTGTGTGTGTGTGTGTGTGTGTGTGTGTGTGTGTGTCTATGCGTGCCTTGGATTCTGCTATGTCTAATGCAGAAGAGGAAGAAGAGGAGGAAGATGATGACGATGATGAAGAGGAAGAAGAGGAAGAGGAGGAAGAGGCGAAACCCACAGCACCAGCAGCTGCGTCGTCAGCCACAACAGCACCACCTGCAGATGATGACAAGGACTTGGACTTTGAGGATGAAGATGAAGACGAGGAAGAAGAGGAGGAGGAGGAAGATGAGGAGGACGATGAGGATGAAACAGACTCCAAGCCTCCCCAAGAGGAAGCGAAAAAGCCGTCGACCGCAACACGTAAGCTTGGTGTTGGTCTGGTGTTGGTCTGGTGTTGGTCTGGTGTTGGTCTGGTGTTGGTCTGGTGTTGGTCTTCCTCACTTTGGGACTTTGGGCGAGATTTGATCCAGTGCTGAAGAAGCTGCAGCCATTTGTAGGATGTTTGCTTATGTATGTCCGACTTGGAGAAGAATACGTGTGACTAACACGAGTATCTACAGTACTGGCAACTGAAATCCGACCACTGGGCGGTGCATTCACATTCTACCGGTCTCTATTTCGTAGTTTTACAACCCCCTGTTGGGTGTTTGCGATTTGAGCGCACCGCTCTGGGGTCGGATTTCAGTCGCCAGCACTATAGCAGCCACATCACCGGTATCTAGTCTCTGACCCTGTGTATGCCATACATTGTACTCTGCTGAGGTTTGTATTCATGATTATGTCTTGGTATGTTGCTGTTCTTTACTGCGTTGTAGCCAAGAGCCGTGGACTGTTGTCGATGGATGACGATGACGACGATGATGATGATGACTTTATGTCTGCAAAGTCGACACCCGCAGCCTCGCAGCCCGCCGCCAGCAAGCCAGCAAGCAGGTGTGTCTTTGTCGGTGTGTGTGGGGGGGGGGGGGGGCAGTTTTGGCATTGAGCAAGTACACGTGTGTGTGTGTGTGTGTGTGTGTGTGTGTGTGTGTGTGTGTGTGTGTGTGTGTGTGTGTTCGTGCTCTGCGAATGTGTTTGATGAATGCGTGAATGTGTGCACCAACAAGCCACGCACTATGTTGAAGTGGTTGATCAGTATGTGCTGGAACATGAGAGGTTACTTGCCACTCTGCTTTGAGTAGAATATCATGTCTATCACTGTGCAAGGTCTGTGCCTTGCAGGGTGATAGGGCTGTTCCTGCCAACTATTGCTACGCAACTAGAGCAGCATGTGTTGTTCAGAATCAGATGCAGTATGCAATAGTCTCGTGTTTAGATTCTCTTGTGGGTGCCTTGTCCTGGAACCTCTCTCTGTGCTGCTGCTGTCATTGTTGTTGCAATTTTTGCTTTTGCTATTGTGTTTGTTGTAATTTTTGCTGCTGCCGCCGTTTTTGTTGTTGTTGTTGGTGATGGTGGTGCTGGTGCTGCTGCTGCTGTTGCTGTTGTTGTTTGAATTCTTTATTCTCACGATGGCATCATCGCCAATAAGAGTTGTTGTTTTTGTTGTTGTTGTTGTTGTTGTTGTCGTCGTCGTCATCGTTGTTGTTTTTAGTGCACTGACTGGAGGAAGTGACGCTGGACTGAGTCTGTTTGGTGATGATGATGATGCCGATATCTTTACCGTTAAGCCAAAGGCAGCAGGTGGCTCTGCTGCATCCACGGCATCGCCTTCACAAGCCAAACCAGCTGCATCTACCGCCTCTTCCTCTGCTGAGACAACACCAAAGGCGGTAAGTCTGAGTGCTGCCATCACGTTTCTTTTTGTTCTTTTTCCCTTTAGATGTCTGCAAGCACCTTTCAGTATGTCTCCAAATCCCTTTCAGTGTCTTCAAATCCCTTTTTATTTCCCCCGTGATTTGCGAGGACAAACGTTTTAAGTTATGTGCTTAGTAATGCGGCCCAAAATAATCCCTTATGCTAGTACTTATAATGCAATGAATATGCAGTATTATGCATGGGAATACGCTGTGCATGCTCTCAGTTTCCCCGGAACTGGTGGAAGTGTACCGGTCTGGTAAGGTTGCTAGCTGAGCACCTGTTGAGGCAAGCTAAACCTCTGCATACTTCACTGTAGACCTACGGTACTGGCGAGCGCCAAAGAACGGACCGCCGAAGAGCGGCCAGGCTAGAATTTCGCCAATTTTTTAGAACGGTGTAGGCTGGATTTTTGCAGATAAGAACGGAAACCGTAATCTACACTATAATGTACACTCAGACGTATAACTCTGCATAAATGTACATGCAAGACTGTACCATTGAATAAGAACGAAACTGCTGTGTTTGCTAAAAATAGGAACAGGCTAGGCTAGAACCCTGACTCCCCCCCCCCCAGTTCTTTGGCGCCCGACAGTACTGTACTTCAAAGTATTATCCAGTGCTCACAGTTTCATTGGCGGACTTCGACTGAAATTGCGGAGCACCAGTGATTGCACGGTATTGCTGTGCTCTGCAATACAACACATTTCGAGGCTTAGAGGTTGAAGCATGTGTTGTTACTCAGCTGGCTCTGCCTTTCGGCATGGAGCCCTCTATTGGACAGTCTGGAACCTCTCTGTTTGTACATTTCAAAGATTATGCTAACTAGGTCGACACGGGACATGTGCCAGTATGCGAGTGACAGGCGATTACGCCGAAAACAATTGTGCGGCGTAATCTCGTAATCCGTGCGGCCCAGCCTTTATGTGTCTCCAAGTCCTGTTCAACCCGTTCAGTGTCGAGTAGTCTGTTCAACCCGTTCAATGTCGAGTAGTCTGTTCAACCCGTTCAATGTCGAGTAGTCTGTTCAACCCGTTCAGTGTCGAGTAGTCTGTTCAACCCGTTCAATGTCGAGTAGTCTGTTCAACCCGTTCAGTGTCCAGTAGTCTGTTCAACCCGTTCAATGTCCAGTAGTCTGTTCAACCCGTTCAATGTCCAGTAGTCTGTTCAACCCATTCAATGTCGAGTAGTCTGTTCAACCCGTTCAATGTCCAGTAGTCTGTTCAACCCGTTCAATGTCGAGTAGTCTGTTCAACCCGTTCAATGTCGAGTAGGTTTAGAGGTGGCTATGTAGGAATTGCATTCAATTGTTGTTTGTATTCTAAAAGCTTGCCAGCAAATGAAGATCTGCGACTGGAAAGATAGAGAGATTCTGGCTGTTTTGCCTGCCGTGCAACTACCGCATGTTACACTGAAGGATATTTGAGTGAGCTCATTGACCAATGTGACCATGCCTGATCGCTATTTTTTGGCCTAATTTTTTGTTGCTGCTGCTGCTGCCGGTGTTGGTGTTGCTGCTGCCGGTGTTGGTGTTGCTGCTGCTTCTGTTGCTGTTATTGTTGTACAGAGTGGCGGTGGCTCTAAGGCAACCAGCGTCAAGGCAACACCTTTGTTTGATGATGACAACGATGATCTCGACTGGCTGAGCTAAGTGTGTTCTGATACTCTCTACCAGCCAAGTGTCACTGTGCACCACCTCGCCGTGCTGTGTGCCGTGCTGTGCTGTCTTGCTATGTGGCCTGTTCCTATGACATGTTGCTATGGCCTGTTGCTATAGCCTGTTGCTATAGCCTGTTGCTATGACATGTTGCTATGGCCTGCAACCGTTGAGCGGCCAATCTCTCTCAATCTCTGCTCATCTGTCCCCTTGTCTCCTTGTCTCTCCGCCATGCGTGTGTGGCTGGCTACAACTGCCTTTCAACTGTGTCTATTGCTCTGTGTCTTTGTCTTGCCCTACGGCGGTGGAGGCGGTGGGATAGATTCTCTTACCAGCACACACGTGTGTAGGTTCCTGTCCTCGCGCGACCTGTTTTCTCACCGTGTCGCTCTGTTTTCTCATGTCGCTCTATTTTCTCTTTATCTTTATCCCTGCACGCTACTGCTGTTGTTGTTGTTGTTGTTGTTGTTGTCGTTGGCACTGCCTAGGCATGCTGTTCGTGTGCATGTTGTCAATGCATGGATTTCTTGATATCGGTGCCCCAGCCACCGTGCGGTCGTCATTGACTCCAGCCGACCGCCATTTTGCTCATATATATATTTTTACGCACCGGCGTCACTTTTTTGCCATGCGTTGTCCTGGCGATTGCATCGAGATTTCTGCTGCTGTTGCTATTGCAACTTGTTCATCGCCATTTTTTGTTTTGTTTTAGTGGCCTAGTTCTCATTTAGACGAGCTCTTTACTGGCAACTGACACTCCCGGTGCACAAATGTCAACGCGCACGTAAAATTAATAATTTACGCTCAAATGTACGATATTCATGATAATGAAATTTGTTTTGTAGAATATGAAATTGCCAAAGGCATCCCTGATTGACGACTCCCATGCAAAACTATTTCCATGAAAGCTATTTTTTAATTTTTGGTTTTTGACATTCTTTTTTTCTTTCTTGATTGCATGTCTTTTAGAATGTTGCTATAATCCTGCTCAGTTGCTTGTCAATTGCTGCGCTAATGCCCGCTCATTGCGGTCTAGTTTGCCCCTATCTCTATAAGCTATGCTCTGCTCCTCGAATGAACGGCTTTCCTAGTTGTCTGTGTCTATATTAGTTGCTGCTTGTCAGTGTGTTACCCTGCTTAGCTGTATGTACAATGCATGCACATATCATTGCTGTTTTTGTTGTTGTCAAATACGACGGCTGTAACCCTGTACGTACGGTAGTGGTGGCGATGGTCATTGTGTGTGTGTGTGTGTGTGGTGGGTGTGTGTGTGCACGTGCACACACGTTTGTTAGGGAGCAGGCGCGTAGGCCGTGTTTAGTCAGCGTAGTCCGGTCACCACACCACCTACTGGCAGTCATAAGCACTACGTAGTCATAATAGGCAAAATGGCGACTATGAAGTTGCCAGTGGTACATGGTCACCACACCGCAGATGTACTCTGGTACATGGCCACCACACCGCAGATGTGCTCTGGTACATGGTCACCACAGCACAGATGTGCTCTGGTACATGGTCACCACACCGCAGATGTGCAAGTCACACACGTCTTTCTTCTCTTTCTCAGTCTCCTCCTGACTTCATTTTCAATCTCCTGGGCGGTTGCCATGGTTATCAACAGCCAGTGCATGCCAGAGTATGTGGCGTATTAGTATGCGTGCGCGGGAGAAAAGAAGGGAAACGACCAAAAAATAGGAATTCGCTGGCCAGAACTAACACACTTCAAATAGTAGTAGCTGTGCGTAAACCAGGCTGATTCTTTGACTTCTGCTGGAGCATCGCTATCATCACCTCCGGCGATGGGCATCAAAACGTGCGTGTGTGTATGTGTGCGATTGTGTGTGCGTGCATGCGTGTGTGCACCTACTGTAGCAGCTCTGACGTGTACACACATGCATACAGCCATGTTCTCTATCCATACACACACACGCCCCCCCTGCCTGCCCGTGTAACTCCACTTGCCGACCATCAAAGAGGCAGCTAAGATTTTAATTACGTGTTCAAGTGAAATAAAAGGGCATGCTATTGAAATTGCAATCATAATAGATCATCAAGTTGATGCAGTGAAGAGCAGGGGAGACCGTGCAACGAAAACTGAGGCATTCACATTCGGTTTTGGTATCAAAAATGAAAAAGGCAGCAAGCTGGGACAGAGGGAAAACACCAACTGAGCGCAGGAAATGCAGAGCAAACAAACGCTATGACGACATACACATGTATGTACTCTTGCATGATAAATTGGTTAGCCTGGGGCCTTGGAAACAGGAATTGACACTACTTTCAAATTGGGAGCAAGGCAAGCCACACTACAGCCGAGTATACTCATGGACGTCACGCCATTACCAGATAAGCAGTTCAGTGAAGCTTTACGTGCAGTCTGCTGGGCAGCCGCGGAAGAGAATAATTAGAAGAAAAAATGTGAGTAAATTGAGAAAAGGCCAGCAGCCGGATACGGATACCTAACCTACAATAGATAATGTAAGTCAGTGCGCCGCCATGCACAGGTATACAAGTCAGTGCGGCGCCATGCACAGGTATACGGAATCTATTTACGGTGGAAAACATGCTCTCTGTTACTATACTGCTGCAGCCCACACTGATAGAGATACAACACAATGGAGATACAACACAATGGACATACTACTCTGACACGCTCCGCTCACAGAACCGTAGGCAGTACATTGCCCCGGCATGTGGCAGCGTGGTGAGACGTAGTGATGTTCTCACATGGCAATTAAGTGATGGTGTGACACACACGCACACACACACGCAACCCCCCCCCCCCCCCACACACACATACACACACACACACACACACACACGCACACACGCTGTCCACTGTACGGAGTGCATAGAGTTTGATGTAGTGATGATGATCACTAGATGAACAGGGTCCACTGGCACTGTGCACACTGTGTCCAGTTCACAATACACAAGTGAACAAACAGGGAGCACTCAGCTGGACACGGCATGACTCACCGAGAGCCATGAACTACTGAAGAGCTTGATACGTGCTTTGTTCCCCCGTCTGTCTGTTGGCGGGAAGGCTCACACCTTGATACGTGTTCGACTCCACACCCACAAGAGAAATCGGCTGATACGTGGACGAATCGGTGGATGCGCCGGACGCTGGCTGAAGTCGCGTCGTTATATCCAGTGGCTGATACACACCCGCCGATGGTCCGTTCGTACCTCCATTCGCCGCACCGCCACCACCACTGCCGCTCGCGCCACCGCCGTTTGCAATGCGCATGTTTTGCATATCAGACGCCACCACATCCATGTACGTAGGCGGGTTATCCGTTGTCAATGCCTACCAGGACAATGACGAATTTAGAAGAAACGAAAACAAACACCAAACTCAGATTAGCCAATGGATATGACGACGATAAATCAACAAATAGTCTAGCCAACACGGGCTATATAACAGGGTTCGCGGTTTCTTTATACTCACATAGAACCTATAGCAGGATGCAGCTAACGAGGCTTCGACCGTTATCGGGTACTGGCTATGACACATACCACCTCGCCCTTGTCGCTACGCGCTGCATCTGCTAAGTTGTTTTCTCAGGCATTGTGCCGGTGGCCAGGTACGAGTGAAACCTCTTAACATAGGGTGTGTTTCTCACCTTTAAACATTGTATAGCCGGGTGTAACGCGGACGTGCAAACTGTTTTCTAACACCAGCCTAGCGCCTAACCTCGCCTGAGAAGCTCTCTTAAAATGAGTGTTGTCTGGGAGAATTGAGATTTTGCCAGTAAAACCATGCCATGCCGTGTGCAGCAAACCAACGTGCCAGGATCAACCCTTCCTGGAATGATAATGAAAACGTGCACCCTAAGGCTTCAATCACACTACTCGTCAAGTCAGACGCTGGAGGCAGCCGGTCAAACCCAAGCACTTGAGGCTGACGTGACGTCATAATTATTGCATTTGTGCTTTTGCTGTCGCGGCTTGACTCAAGGAAACCACCCTGTGATGAACCAAATCGCTACAATACCGTACGGTACGCTATTTTCAAAGCAAAACCTGTTCTTGTTTTAAAGACAACTGCCAATGCAGCCAAGTTGTCCGCGTCGGACGCTGATGCATCGGACGTTCAGCTTTTTCTGCCTTTTCGTCAGTTGCCATGGTCAACTCATGATTCAGACGCTGACCCAGCATTTTTGATGTAGTGTGCCCAAGGCCTAAGAATGTCGGCTGTACCAGAAGTGTAGACGGTAGACAATAGACTAGTGCCAGTGGACATTATAGCGCAACTGGTAGTTCCTTGATCCTTTTCTTTACTATGAATGATCCCTTAGGGGTCGTCCGCAATTATCGAAAGTTTTTTCCAATCCGTAGTAGCTTCAAATTTTTCCTCACCCACCCACCCACCCCCTCAGTCCGTAATAAAATATTATTGATGGACACACAACCCAACACATATGGAACAAACTCAATCAGTGCTGGTCCATGAGTCATAGTGACATCATGTATTGTATTACAACTACCATTATTGATGTTTTCCAAACAACGTCGCCTGTCTGGACATAGTCAATAACAGTCGTCAGCGCCAGCGCTAGACGGAAGGACTTCAAAGGAGTGCATGGAAGACGGTACTCTGGACGAAGGAGACAGTGAAACTCAAAAATAGAAAGTGTCGACTCGCCGTCGAATGCGCCGAACTTTATGATCCCCGGCCCAGGAGCAGCCAAGGAAGCGCGCGCGGGGGCGCAGAAACTGCCAGAACTACAAAAATAATAATTTTGTAGTAGACTCGTTCCACCAACTATACCACTTTCAATAAATCGTGACGCCATTTTGTTTTAACACGCATGCGGTCCGTTCGCGCGCAGCCGCGCCTGGAAAACAGGGGCTACACGTAGACGTACACGTGGCACGCGCACGTGTCATTTCGGAAGTTTTTCAATCCGTAACTGGCCTTGACCCACCCACCCACTTTCGAAGCTACTACGGATTGGAAAAAACTTTCGATAATTGCGGACGACCCCTTACCGATAAGCCTTGATAGGAGTTTTCCGGTTCAGCAGCTGCTCCAGCCGTTCCCGTGGAAACCGAATGACTTCTCTGTCCCACCATATCCGAGCGTGCTTGGTACTGATTGCTCTCTTGACTACCTACATAGGTACATACAGTAATACACACGTATATACACACGCACACACGCACACACACACACACACACACACACGCACACACATACACACACACATACACACACATACACACATACACACACATACACAGTCCAATGGTGGTTACATAATCTGGATAATCATGATACACACCGTCCTCACCAAGAGCCTGGCCTACCCTACCGCGACCAAGCGGTGTGGTCTATGCCTGGCTGAAAAACTGGAGATATTGAAAGCAGACAAAACGGTCAACATCAACAAAAGGTCGGAGTTGGTATCAAAATGCAGACACGAGAACAAGTAACCTGTCCAAATTGAAAATTCTCACCAACAGTTACATGAATTCTTTTTCAACATGGCGACACCTGTACCAGGCTTGGCGCCATGGTGCTTTCAGTATACACATTTCATTTCAATTTTTTCTTCAGGGGCTGCGCGAACGCAAACCCCCGCTACCAGAAATTGCGCGCCCGACTTTCCCACGTTTGGGGAAATCGCAGTCGTCAGCCCCAACCGAGTGCAATGGAGGGGCCTCATCCTGAGGGAGCCGCCTTCTTGATCACGGCGTCCCCTGCACAAGGTAAGTATGAAGTCTCTGTTGACACGCTAATCTACTCATGGATAAAATTCATTCAGTGGATATAGTGTCAAAATCAAAACCATGACAACATTACAAGCCGCTTATCACTAGACGCTTATCCTATCGCTCTGGCGATTGCTTGAGATGACAATTGAGAGTTTTCTTTTTCATCTAGATACTCCGGTTCCTCCATTAGACTGAGAGTTGTCCAAGTTTATACCATAGTTAGAAAATGTTGAATTTATCGATCAGTGGTCCGATCATCAACGGGTGTCAATCATGGGCTTCCAACCCATGACCAAACAAAACACTTCGCCACGGGATCGGTTGGATTTATGCAGCATAGATGCGGAGCTGTGCACTGTGGTTTGTGTATTCTTGATGTAAGTCCAGCCATTGTCAAAATTGTGCATACATTTGTAGTACACGGCACTTTGCTATTGACGGGCTAAGCGGGGTACACAGAGGCCTTGTCTTGCGATGCAACGGCTGCAAAACCAGGTAATCCCTAAATCACACCCACCTCGCAATGCTCACAACTGTCGCAACTGGCTGATCACAGAAGTCGAGCTTGGCTCAGCTTTCGTGATGTGATATGCAATGCCAGTTGTTATTTTGACCTTCTTTGCAGCAAAGGTTATACGCTGTATGCGCTAGGCAGTTGCTTGCAGATTTGTACAAATTCTACCCAGCTGTGCGAATGCTATCGGTTGCATACACCGCTTTACGGTTTGAGGCATATCGTTGTATTGCTGATCTGTGAATGATATTTTGTGCGTTCGGATTGCACTTTCGGCGTTGTAGATTGTACCACACCGCGCCTCGAATCGCAAAAATTGCTTCTGTGAATCCAGACACACAAAAGGATGGGTGAGAACAAAAATTTCATTTCAATTTTTTTTCTTCAGGGGCTGCGCGAACGCAAACCCCCACTACCAGAAATTGCGCACCCGACTTTCCCACGTTTGGGGAAATCGCAGTCGTCAGCCCCAACCGAGTGCAGTGGAGGGGCCTCATCCTGAGGGAGCCGCCTTCTTGATCACGGCGTCCCCTGCACAAGGTAAGTATGAAGTCTCTGTTAACATGCCAATCTACTCATGGTAGAAATCCCTTCAGTGGATATAGTATCAAAAACCGAAAACCATGACAACCTGCTTTTTTCTCAAACTGCTTATTCTATCGCTTCAGTGATTGTTTGAGATGACAACTAAGACTTCTCTCAAAAACCGCAAACCATGACAACCCGCTTTTTTCTCAAACTACATATTCTATCGCTTCAGTGATTGTTTGAGATGACAACTAAGACTTTTCTCTTTGATCTAGATATTCCAATCTCTGTAAGACTGAGAATTGACCAAGTTCCGATAGTTTGAAAATGTAGAATTTATCGATCAGCGGTCCGACCGTCAACGGGCGTCAATGGTTACCTACCTATGACCAAACACGATATCACCGAAGTCGCTAGCACTATTTCACAATCACCTAAACAAAACACTTGGCCGTCAGATCGGTTGGTTTATGCAGTATACTAGTAGATGGGGAGCTATGCAGTCTGGCTTAGGTACCCTTTTAATGTAAGTCTAGCCATTGGCAAATTGTACACAGCATTTCGAACAGGTTAAGCGGGACATACAGAAGCCGTTTTGCGATGCGACGATGCAAGGGGCGAGAAACCAGGTACTCCTCAAATTGCACTCACTACGCCACGCACACAGCTGTCGCAACTGGCTGATTGTAGATGTTGGGATTGGCTCAACTTTCGCGGTGTCACATGCGATGCCAGGTGTGACTTGGACCTTCTTTGCAGCAAAAGTTTCCGCTAGTTTCAACAGTTGCTTGCAGATTCTTTCTAGACCAAAGAGTGGTATATTTGATAACATTTAATAACGATAGAAATTTTTACGATACTTCTCCAGACGTTTCGTTGTTCTGAACAACATCGTCAGTGGATAAAGAATAGCTCCATTCTTTATCCACTGACGATGTTGTTCAGAACAACGAAACGTCTGGAGAAGTATCGTAAAAATTTCTATCGTTATTAAATGTTATCAAATATACCACTCTTTGGTCTAGAAAGAATACTTTTTGATATTACAATGAGAGTGAATAATCAACGGCTTGTCCACCAACTCTTTTAGTTGCTTGCAGATCTGTACAAGTTCTACCAAGCTATGCGAATGCTATGGTATTGTACACACCGTTTTACGGTTTGAGGCGCATCAGTCTGCAAGGCGACTCGCTGATCTGTGAGTGGTGTTTCGTGACTTCGGATCACACTTTTCAGCATCACAGTTGCACCACATCGCACCTTGCATTGAAAACTTGCTGTACATGCAGGCGGATCCACCACAGTTCCAATGAAACTATTGCTGAAGTCGTGTAACTTCCCTACCCCTTTTGTGTACGTGCTTTTCTTTTTTTCTTTTTTCTCTTCTTGCGTGGTTGGGCGCACCCTCTCCTCAATTCAATTGGCAGTCTTGACATGCTACGAGGTGCACCACATCGCACCTTGCATCGCAAAAATGCTTCTGTACATAAAGGAAACAAGGGTTCTGAGAGAACACAAATTTCATTTGAACTTTTTTCTTCAGGGGCTGCGCGAACGCAAACCCCCGCTACCAGAAATTGCGCGCCCGACTTTCCCACGTTTGGGGAAATCGCAGTCGTCAGCCCCAACAGAGTGCAATGGAGGGGCCTCATCCTGAGGGAGCCGCCTTCTTGATCACGGCGTCCCCTGCACAAGGTAAGTATGAAGTCTCTATTGACATGCCAATCTACTCATGGTAGAAATCCCTTCAGTGGATATAGTATCAAAAACGGAAAACCATGACAATATCATAACCCGCTTTTTTTCTCAAACTGCTTAATCCATCGTTTCAGTGATTGTTTGAGATGACTTGACTTCTCTCTTTGATCTTGATATTCCAATCTCCGTAAGACTGAGAATTGATCAAGTTTTAATAGTTTGAGAATGTAGAATTTATCGATCAGCGGTCCGACCGTCAACGGTCGTCAATGGTTACCAACCTATGACCAAACACGCTATCACTGAAGTCGCTAGCTCTCACTGCGCAGCGCACACACACACACAACTGACTGATTGTAGATGTTGGGATTGGCTCAGCTTTCGCGGTGTGACATGCGATGCCAGGTGTGACTTGGACCTTCTTTGCAGCAAAAGTTTCCGCTAGTTTCAACAGTTGCTTGCAGATCTGTACAAGTTCTACCAAGCTGTGCGAATGCTATGGTATTGTTTTTTTTAAAATTTTTTTATTGGGAACACAGCCCTACAAAGAGACATGTGGAGACAAACACAAGACAAGAAACAGGGGATGTAGGGACGACGTGCCGATGTACAGGGAGCAACTCGACCGACCAGGGGTCTCGGCGTTAGCGTTGCAACCTGGCATCGAAAAGTTGTACACACGGTTTTACGGTTTGACAGGTATCAGTCTGCAAGGCGACTCGCTGATCTGTGAATGGTGTTTCGTGACTTCGCATCACATTCGTTGGCGTCACAGATGCGCCACATTGCACCTTGCATAGCAAAAAAATGCTTCTGTATAATTATGCAGGCATACACAACAAGGATGGGTGGTTCTGAGAGAACACAAAATTCATTTCAATTGTTTTTCTTCAGGGGCTGCGCGAACGCAAACCCCCACTACCAGAAATTGCGCGCCCGACTTTCCCACGTTTGGGGAAATCGCAGTCGTCAGCCCCAACCGAGTGCAATGGAGGGGCCTCATCCTGAGGGAGCCGCCTTCTTGATCACGGCGTCCCCTGCACAAGGTAAGTATGAAGTCTCTGTTAACATGCCAATCTACTCATGGTAGAAATCCCTTCAGTGGATATAGTATCAAAAACCGAAAACCATGACAATATCACATTCCGCTTTTTTCTCAAACTACTTATTCCATCGTTTCAGTGATTGTTTGAGATGACAACTACTTGACTTCTCTCTTTGATCTAGATATTCCAATCTCCGTAAGACTGAGAAATGACCAAGTTCTGATAGCTTGAAAATGTAGAATTTATCGATCAGCGGTCCGACCGTCAACGGGCGTCAATGGTTACCAACCTATGACCAAACACGGTATCGCCGAAGTTGCTAGCACTATTTCACAATCACCTAAACAAAACACTTGGCCGTCAGATCGGTTGTTTTATGCAGTATAGATGTGGAGCTGTGCAGTCTGGCTTAGGTACCCTCGATGTAAGTCTAGCCATTGGCAAATTGTACACAGCATTTCGGAGAGGTTAAGCGGGACATACAGAAGCCGTTTTGCGATGCGACGATGCAAGGGGCGAGAAACCAGGTAATCCCCAAATTGCACTCACTACGCCACGCACACAGCTGTCGCAACTGGCTGATTGTACAGGGGCAACGTCGGAAGTTTTT